GAGGCAGGTGCTGCCTTCAGAACTCGGACACCATCATTAATGAGGAGGGACTAGCAAGAACACACTCCTTGATCATTACACAGACAAGAGACAGAGACGCTCTTGTCTCCTATGATGTGTAAATATGCTAACCCGGAGACAAGAACAGGGAGCAGATGTGGTTGTGAGAGTTGGCACAGGGTACCGAAAACCCGGACGCCCAAGTCACCTAGCAAGGTTACATAAAACAAGGGCAGCTGTTTTCACTGCAGGATGACCATGCAGACCCATGGATGCCATTCTTTTTTTGTAACAATCCTGCTTTTCTGAGCCACGCCTCAGTTATGCCTCGCTTTGCTGCTCTTCACCTTGTCCTCCAGGCAGTAGTTCTCTTTCGCTGAGGACTTCAACACCTGGCTCTCAGGGTCCATCCAAGGTGCAAACTCTGGGCTCTTAGCTCCTTGGTTGAGACACAAATGAACACCCTGGTTCTTTTTAATCACTTTTTGTTCGTTTGTTCCAAAAAGCACCAATTTCTGTTTTAACTAGGGGTCCTTTGGACTACAAATAAAGAAACCTAACTTGATTTATCTTAGGCACAAAGTAGGCATTTATTACCTTGATAATGAAAGGTTGCAGAGAATCCGGATACAGCTGGGCCTCAGGGGAGTTAGAACTAGGACTCTTTCTCCAGCTTTGTTATTAGAATAAAAGTGATCCTCTTCCTTTAGTGTCAATTGGAAAGCCCCTAGGTAGGGTCCTTGGCTCTGCCTGCATCACATGACTAACCCTGTGCCCACACAGATGGACTTTGTACGAGTATTGACAGCCCTGCAAGAACCACATAGTGGGAGTAGGAACAGCAGCTCCCAGAATTAAGTGGCTGTTATTCCCAGAAGGGAGGGAAAAACAGATACCCTCCTTCATCATTCTCTGATCGTAATGACTCTACAGAACAGAAATCACGCATAGAAATTTGTATCTTGAATTCTATTGCCAACTTCTTAAGCTGTAGATTTACAACTCCTATATTGTCAAATTTTTCTGCTGACTCTGAGAATATCTCTTGTGTGTCCATAGTCCAGAAAGCAAAAGCAAAAGATAAAGGCACCTCTTTGGGGACTGAGGGTCAGAGCAGAGAGTGGAGACTGTGAAAAAGCAATTGTGGAGAATAGAGGTCAAGTTTACCAGTAAATTGTAAGAAGGGCTGTGAGAAAGTGCTGAGGTAGGTGATATAAACTGAATGTTTATGTCTGACAAAATGCAAGTTGAAACCTAATCCCCAATATGATAGATTTAGAGGTGGGGCCTTTGGGAGGTGATTGGGTCATGAAGGCTGGGTCCTTGTGAATGGGGTTAGTGCCCTTATAAAAAAGACCTCAGAGAGCTGCATTTCTCCTTCCTCCACGTGAGGACACAGATGGCTATGAAGCAGGACATGAGCCTCACCACACACCAAATCTGTCAGTACCATTATGTTGGACTTCCCAGCCTATAGAATTGTGAGAAATAAATGTCTTGTTTAAGCCACCCAGTCTATGGTAGTTTTGTGTAACAACCCTAGTGGACTAAGACAACAGGTAATCACGACTTTATAGATCCAACTTGTCTTGTATAACTTCTTCTCTAGCAGTGTTTGGCGGCTGGGATGCAAATATGGGAAAACTGGATTGTTGTATTCATAGTGGGATAGGGAAATTTCCTTATTTTTCTAGGCATGGGAGAAATGAAGATGAGAAACAGAATTCAGGGTATTGAGAAAGAGTATTACTACTAGTAATATGATGGATTCCGGAATCTCAGCTGAATGCAAAGAGACATGAAGAAAGGCTCATGGATTGGGAGAGTAGTGAGAGAACTGGGGAGCCCCATTTAGGTCAAAATAGTGTGGGAGAGGGAATAGTTCAACAAAGTAATGCCAATATGTGTTTATCTGTATACACAGATAGAAACTATATCCATGTCTTCATTAGGGTATTGCACTTATAAAGAAATACTCTTACTCAAAAAGGACATACACAAATGATGTAGCTATGATATGATGCACTTTATTTCAATATACTAAACCAAAACAATTAACAAAACAACTTATTTGTTTGGAAAAAAACAAATGCAGGATTGATTTGCTTGACTATAATGTATTTTAGCAAACAATATTTAGGTACCCCACATCTAATAAAGCTCTCTATGTACATAGTAGATACCAAATAACTTTGCTAACGGATGAGAAAATAACCATTTGGAAAAATCAAAACAGTTGTGAAATAGAGTCAAATGCCTAAGTTAAGAATCTTGCAAACTTAGAAAAAGACTGAATTCTTATATTTTTATCCATACCAAAAAAAAAAATCATTCTCCATCCTTCCATTTTCACCTACATTTTCTTTAACAAAATTGGACCCCAAATTTGAAGGCTTAAATTCTCTCTTCTGAAAGCTTCAGGAGTATCAGATTCTCCTTCAAACCTTAGCTGTCTAAAAAGAAGCAGACCATTGAAAACAAAGATATACAGATTTCACTTGTGTGCAGATTCTGCTGGGGAAGAGTTCCTGAGTAGGCGACCGATTCACTCAACTTCCTTCAAAAAGTAATGCCTCATCAGAGGACAAAACTGGCTCTCATGCAGCCCATCAGCAGCTACCTTTATCACTGGAAATCAGTTAGTGAGTGACATTTAGCCCTCAGCTTAATCTGCACAAATGCAGTTTGGGAATTCTATGACAATGATGTTAGCATATTTAAATGTAACATACAAGATTCTGAAAATTAATTAACGTATTAATTAATTAATTAATGTATTTATTTATTTAGCTGAGCATTCCTGCCACCTGTTGGCAGCTCAGCTCAGGCCAGGAATTGAACTACTGTTGCTCAGAGCTCGCACTCTTGAGACAGCTCTTAACCAACAGAGCCACTCGGCCGGCCCTAAAATAATTTATTTATTAAATATGCAAGTTGCTATGTTTCTCAATAATCACTATTTTATGAACAAATAAAAAACAAAATGGCAACAGAAGAAAAATTTGGATGTTCAAACTGAGACAACCGTAAAAATTCCATATATAAAGACATGACTGGGGTAAGCTGATACTGTAATAATAATTGTTTATTACTGTATGTAACTGGACAGCAAAACAGCCCCGTCTGAAAGCACTGGACCAAACTGTCTTCCCGAATCCCTCAAAGACATGATTCTACATATTACAATGAAACATTTTAAATACAGGCAATATAACATAGAACTACCAGTTTTTATATTCCTAAATAAACTTAAACTACTATAGCAATGATTTAAATACATGTGCTATTAAAAAAAACTGTAAACATACTCTGATTTTGTTTTTTACCTGAAAGATAATATTAAAAAGAGGTTCCACAAATTCTTGATTCCTTAAGAACTAAGGATCAAATAACTAAACATAATAAATAAATATGCAACCTAGAGGCCTGGGAAAGGGTATATAGAATACAGAACATAATACACCAGTGTATTAAAAATCCAGTATTTTGAGATTAAAAATTCTTTATCGCAATACAGTTAGGTTTATTGCTAGTATAAATGAACTTCATTTTAAGGCACATGTCGTGACCGATGAGAAAGATTTGGATTCAAAACAAAGGAAATATGGACTGTAAAATATGGACTGTTTTTCTTTCATTTTGATGTCATTATAGGTATTACAATTTTAAATGTTAAGTTTTTGTATGGCATTAGATAAATATCTTTGAACATATTACCTGAATATAGTTAAAATGTTTATGATACTTTGATACTCGAATTAATGTATATTAATTCTTAAATTAAATTAATTCTTAATTAAAGTATGTGCTACTTTAATGGGGAAATGGGCAAAATTAAATCAAGATGGATGGCAAAGGACTACATACAAGAAATATGATAACCTATAAGAGAAAAAATTCCATTGCAGGGACAGTGACTATGCAGATCTTGGCCAAGTTGTTTAACTTCTCTGAGCCTCACTTTTTCCATCAGTAAAATTTTAATACTAGCTGCTTTGTCAAACTCATATGACGGTTATGAGATCAAATGAGGTGATGTAAAAACACTTGCCAAACTTGAAGCACTGAACAATTAATGGTATTATCATAGGCCAAATCTCTCAAGTTTCTGATAGTCTAACAAATAAGGTTATAGTCAGCTCCTTTTGCATCCACTTGAGAACGCCCAGTTTTAATCAATTAGATAGTTGTGCTATGAATAAAGCAAAACTTTATGCAAAGAGAGGAGCTTTAAGTTTTAGCTGCCAGAATTTTATAAAGTAGTATGCTGTGAGTGGGGCAGCCCACTGCTTGCTGGGGCTCAGGCTACCTCTGGACTCTTCCTAATGATAAAGAGGGGGCAGACTTCTCAGAGACCTTGGCTCCTGACCTTTCCTCAGTCTCCTCTGCAGAGACCTCCATCTCCCTCACCACCTGCTATCGTGCAGCATGCATAGTTCCATTAAAAGAAGTATATCTCATAACAGCATAAAAGTTTTTTGGTTTTTTTTTTAGCTGAGCCATCCTGCTACCTGTTGGCAGCTCAGCAGCTGCTCAGCGGCTGCTCAGCTCAGGCTGGACTCGAACCGCTCTTGCTCAGAGCTCAAACTCTTGAGCAAGCTCTTAACCAACTGAGCCACTCGGCCGGCCCGAAAGTTTTAAGAGCATTAAAGAAACACAGCTGAGGCCAATCACAGGTACATTTCTGAGCTTGGCACAAAGTTAAAATGGTTCCATAAACCCCACCACGTTCTCCCTGGCTTAGTCCAGAAGCCCTACTTCTATGCATAAGACGGTTCTAGGCCAGCTTTTCCAAACTCTGTTCTGAAGAACACTACTTAGGTGAGATGTTAAATGAAAAAAAGGTCTGTGTTAAGTTTGGAATATGTGGGGAGAAATAAGTTTACATACTGCAGAATTTCTCGTACTGACAGAATTTGATGTACTGACTATCCACTATAAAGAGCAATGGAGTGGACAGCATTTCTCAAACTTGTTTGAGCACAGAATCCCGTTTTTTCCCACAAAATATCTAGAGGGGCTAATAGCTCTTAGAATTCTCTTTGGGAAGTGCTACTCTAGCTAATTCACCCTAGTTTTATACATTAAGGGCTATGTCTGGCAATAGTTATCCTTTTAACTTCTGAAAAAGCAGAACCATTTTGCTCACAAGGCCCACTACCATGGCAACCACGTGGATGCCACTCTGTAAGTATCCTACCCAAAGCAACTAAGAGCTAAACTTCTTTTAGTACAATACTGAGGAATCCAAAGAAGTTATTCTCAAGTTAATGAGAATTATAATCTTTTTAAGGAAATCTTTATATCCTTTCTCCAACATTAAAAATACAAAGATCTAACTCTAGATCTTAGAATCAAGAATCACAATTACTTTGAGGAGATGGGAGTACTTTATCACAATATCACTGCAATCCACACTATTGATAATAATAATAATTAGTAATGGTGGTGATGGTGGTAGTGTTGGCTAAGAACTTACTTTGTACCTTAATCCTCATATCCACTCTATGAATTTAGGACCTACTATTACATTCATTTTTAAAAATAAGTACAGTGAGGTTGAGGGAGATTAACTGACTTGCCAAGGGTCACACAAAATAGTAAGGACAGAATCTCAAACTCATATCTGACTCCTCACCTCATGCTCTTAATCACTACATAATGTCATCTTATATTTTAGTAACAAAACAAAAGCATTTAAGTTACACTCTGGTTGTTAAAAAGTTTGAGTATATTCATATAAATCCAACTTGATTGATATTTGATTTTGGATTTCCTCTTGAGCAAAGGAGACACTTTATGTTTTGTTTGTTTTTTAAAGCAGAGAAAAATAGACTGCTATTTACCAATGATATGTTTAGATATGGGGAGGGTTTTAAAAATCTGCATCCAAGGTGAAGACATTATCTGTGGTTTCTGCCATCACTGCAAAACGCTGATACTCTGAAACTCGTTTCTCAAAGAAATTTGTTTTCCCTTCTAAAGAAATGTTTTCCATAAAATCAAAGGGATTTTCTGCCTGAAAAATCTGAAAATAAAAGAAATGTTATTAGACATTCCAAAGGAGTCAAATTATAACCCACAAGAAGATCGACAGATAACTAAAATGGAGCATAGGTCTTCCAACACCTGTCTAGTCATTTATAGGATCACACTACTCCCTAAGGCCTTAGAGGCGCTCAAGGCTGATAAATTTTAAGATGACTAAGATTACCTACTAATCTCAAGAAGCGATACTAGCATCTCTGGTATTCTAAGAAGTAAAAAGGGGGGGGAAATATTTCAGGAAATAAAAGATGTAATACCAACCAAATTAAAATGTTTTCACAGCTTTAAAAATTTAATACAACATAGATATCATAGGCATTTTTCACAGGTAATACCATTAGGTAGTCACACACATGATACTACATATATATATGACACTACATAATCATATACATGATACTATAAAATATTAAATTACCAACAATGTACTGTTGCTCATATTTCTTAGTTCAGAAGAAAACATAATAAAAAAATTGACATTAAGAGGCCGTGATGAGGTAAGATAAAATAATTTTTATCCATAGTGACCCCCCTCAAAAAAGAGAGACATGTTGACAAGAAGCTTTTTCACTGCTTCTCAATTCAAGAAGCAGACTTGGGGACACAGCTTGATGGAAACTGTGAAACATTTCAATGATTCGTGAGAGGCAATATAAGAGGACTTTTGACTTTAGAAGTATTGCAGCAGGGATTATAAACACTACGGTAAAAATATATTCAAATAACCCAATTAAAAATGGACAAATAATCTGAGTAGACAAGCAGACATTTCTCTAAAGAATATATACAAAAGGCCTATAAGTACATGAAAAAATGCTTAAAAATCATTATCCATTAAATAAATGCAAATCAAGACCACAATGAGATAACATTTCACTCCCACTAGGATGGCTATAAATAAATAAATAACAAGCATTGGTGAAGATGTGGAGAAACTGGAACCCTCATACACTGCTGGTGTTAATGTAACATGGTGCAGTCACTTTGGAAAACAGTCTGACAATTCCTCTAATGATTAAAAATAGAGTTTCTATTTGACCCAGCAATTTCACTTCTAGTTATATAGCCAAGAGAAATGAAAACATATGTCCACACAAAAACTTATACATGAATGTCCATAGCAGCATTATTCATGATAGTCAAAAAGTGGAAATCACTGCAGTGTCCATCAGCTAATAAATGGATAAATAAAATTTGGTATAGCCATACAAAGGAGTATTATTTGGCCATAAAAAGGAGTAAAGTACTGATAAATGCTACAACACAAATGAACCTTGAAAACCACAGTAAAGAAGCCAACCACAAAAGACCATATGCTGTATGGTTCCATTTATATGAAATGGGATATACAGAACAGGAAAATCTAAGGAGACAGAAATTAGATTAGTGGTGCCTAGGGCTGAGATGGAGGTGTGGAAAAGAAAGGGAACTAACAGATTGCTAATGGGTACAGAGATTCTTTGTGGGGTGATTAAAAATAATGTTCGAAAATAGATTGTTGTGATAGTTGCACAACACTATGAATATACTAAAAACCACTGAATTTGTATATACATTTATTAATAGGTGAATTGCAAGCTCTGTGATTTTAAAAAGATATATATTTTTTAATTCCAAAAAATGCTCATATGCTTTGTGTGGTTGAGCTGTGGAATTCTGTGAAATTTCCGTTCAGAAATACTGTGTGAAGAGGGAGTGAAAATTGGAGCTATCACACAGAATACAGTGGAAAGAGTACTGAACCAATTGTCATAGATTGACTGAATTTTAAAACAGGGGACCTTCTAAAAAATATGATCCAAATCATTCATGTCTTGGACAAAGTAAGACCAAAATAAAGTGGCTTATTTTTGACACACAGAAGTACTCAAATATTTATTAACTAATCCTAAATTAAAAGAGAAGTTGAAAACATCATCAATGTGACTCTTATTTAGAATTCTGTATAAATAGCCACCATTTGCTAATTTAAATAATCATTTATTTTACCAAAAACTATCATTGTAAGAATAGTTCTTTTTATAGCTCCTTGAGTTCAAAGTTTAGTTCATATACTTTAAATTGTTTTGTATTCTTAATATACACATTCAAGGCTATAAATTTTCCTCTGAGGATCTCTTTGGCTGCATTCTACAAGTTTTGATATACAGTAATCTTATTGTCATTTAGTTTATATTTCCTATTAATTTATATTTTCATTTTTAATCTCATTTTAAAGGATAGCTCTTCAATTTCTAACTAGCTCAAACTTTTGGCCATCTTTTATTGTGAATTTCTAATTTTACTGTATTAAAATCTCTGGTCTGTATAATGTCTGGGCTTTGGAATTTACTAAGAAATGCTAAAGGCTTGTGGAAAAATGATGTTTCACACTGTGTTTTCTTCTGTAGGAGGCATGTTTTATATATATATACCTACAGTTAGTAAGTTCCCAAAGAGAAAACTAGATCCAGGGGTCCACAGTTTTCCAATAAGCGGGAGAACATGGATGTGTGGGTGTGAGGATATGGTGGTGGGTTAAAGGATAGCGAGTTCACTTTAAGGCTTAAGTAAGCAAAGTAATTTTCCTGTAACAAACATATTCATATAACTTAGGAACACATATAATTTTTTAATACGCAGTTTATAAATTTAAGAGATCATATTAATGTAACTGTAATCCTGATTTCTCTCATTATCCGCAAACATAGAAAGGATCTTGCAACTAAAATAATAAAATATAAATAGTTATCTTACAATAGTTTGCTTCACCTGATTCTTGCATTATAGTATTTCTGTGGTACCAGAATATAAATGCATTACCAAGAAAGTTTATAATTACCCCAGCATCATGGATTTCATAAGGCTTCTCATTAAATACAATTTAAACTTACATTTCCATGCTAAGAAATCAAAACCTACAATTTCTAATTACCACAGTTTAGTACACAGTAAAGTTCTGTGAATGTTCCACTTACGTTGAATACAACATGACCACTTAGTGTGCATTTACTGTATATCTGACACTATTTTAAGTGCTTTAGGTTACGAACTCATCACAATCCTTATTATCTCGATTTAATGGATAAGGAAACTGAGATAGGGGTTAAGCACCTTGCCTAAGGTCACACAGCTAGAAAGTGGTGGAAGCAAGATTCAAACCCAGGTAGTCTGCCTGCAGCCTCCACCTGTTAAGTCACATGAAAAGCATACCTCTTCATGAAATTCAGGTACTTTATCTCTGATAACCAAAGACAGAAATAACTTAAACACAGCTGAGTTCAGAGTCAAATTATGACAGTTAATGTCTTCATAATAACTATTTCCTATTTACAAACATTAACCCCTAAATTATAACATAGACACATGGAGATTTATACGATGGTAAAATACATATATATAT